GACGATGCATCCGGTTGGAACCAAGATGTACATGGATTTGAAGGATAGGTATTGGTGGTCAGGAATGAAAAGAGGTATCACTGAATTTGTGACATGATTGAATGAATAGATGATATGTTCATATATATATGAAATGCATTATTTTTATTGTATTTTTGATATGGCTCACTAAATCATAGACTTAGCGTGTGATTATTTCACGCGTAGGTTTCGAGAAGAGAAAGATTGATAAAAGTTATTCAAGACAGGTCAGTTCATCCTTTCCAAAGATCATATTAGAAAATAAATGTATATTATGTATGTTGTAATAAGGAGAGTAGTTGGCATATAAATAAAGGATTCAATCCGATATATTCTAATCGATTTTGAAAAGTTATACGATTGAGTTTTGTAATGTTTTAAATGCGTATATGTAATTGATAAATTTTATACGGATGAAAGCTTAGATTTTTATGAGTTTTATGACGTTTTACGAAAGTTACTGTATGTAACATCCTCAATATCTGGTTAATGATCAAATTGTAAAGTTTTAGAAATTGGTGACTATAGTAGAACCATGGATTAGTTCAATGATTTATTTGGAAATAAATCATAAAAGTTGTTAGTAATTATAAGATGAATTAAAGGGCAAAAGTGTCATTTGACAAGGAAGATTTTTATTTCACGTGGGAAGAGAGAAAAGATTCCATAGTTCTCTTTTCTTCTCTTATTCCTTCTTCATACGTGAAGGCTTGACTCAAAGGTGAGTTTCTTTGTTTGTTGATTAATTATTAATTTTAAGGTTGAGTTATGATCATTAGATGATAATTAAGCTTAAGGAAAGCTTAATTTGTTTTAAAACAACAAGATGAAAGATATAGAATAGATTAAAGAAAATGAGTTTTTAGATGAATTTCTGAAAAAGAGTTAAAAAGTGAAATTTGAGAAGGAATTTGACTTGTCATCACTAAGAATAAGAGATATATGAAGTTAGAAAGGATTAATAACAAAGTTGAAAGTTTAGTAAGATTCTTAAATTTTAAGAATCATGATGAGATATGGAAGATAAAGATGGTTTACATGGATATAAGTTGGTTTAAGTAATGATAGTTGAATTTAATGACATAATAGGGGCTTAAAATAGAAGGATTGAATGAAGAATTGATGATTTTTCGGGCTTAAAATGCAAATTCTGGGCAAGGTGTATCGATTCACATTCAATGTGCATCGATGCACTCTTTAAAGAAGAAACATCGAATGCAATTAGTGCATCGATGCATCCCCTTAAAATGAAAACATCGTAGGTGATTTGTGTATCGATGCATGGGTAGTGCATCGATGCACATGTTAAAGAATGCATCGATGCACATGTTAAAGAATGCATCGATGCACTGTAGAATGCATCGATGCACTTCAAGGGGAAATTGAAATAGACATTTCTTTCGGTCTAAGAAATGATAGATTAGAATATATCAATTGGATATTGATATGTATCAATGTATGATTGTATAGATATCGAGCACGAATAAGTTTCGGAACGATTATCAAGTTAAGATTCGATCGAAAGCAAAGTTCGGATAGCTCGTCAGAGTAAGATGCGCAAGAAAAAGAAAGAGCTTGGGAGTGTTATTGGTGATCAGGTGAGTACATGATAGTAAGTATATGTTGTGTTAGGGAATTTAGACTTGCGATGAGTCTAATTACGATATTAGATTACATGAGTACAAAGATACAAGCATGTTGCATAGGATGTTTATGAGTAGATGAATATTAGGTCCTCAGCTTAATCTTTTTCTCTCGGGGTTTTGTTTGTTTCGCAAGAAATTTTTTAGGGCGTTTTTTCTTTCACCCTATGGCTTGGCTTCTTGCTTTTTTTTCTTCTTCTAGCCGTTTCTCAAGAAACATCTGATGAAGGTAACGCCTTTTTATTCTTCTCTTCCCTTTCCTCATACTTTGCTGTAGACTTCTTTCGATCGTCTTTTTGGGATTTCTTTTCGTTTTTGTTTCTCATTCATTTTAATGTTACAAACCTGATGAACAGGAACTGTTAGCCAAGTATAATCAAACTTGTTTTAGGAAAATATTTTTACTGTAATTAAGTTCTTTTTTTTATATATATATACTTTGCTTGAGGGGATTTTAGTAGGTCTGAAGCTTTAAATTGGGGAATGAGTGAGAATAGAATGGAGGGTGGCCTCGGCAAAAGTGTTTGAATAATGCAATGAAAAAAAAATTCATATAAGGCAGTCGAACAATTATTTGCTTAAGTAGGGTGACAGTGACTATTATAGGTCTCCAGTAAACGATCTATGGAACACTTGACGGAACACTTGACGACCAATAAGATCAATGTAACAAACACCTTGATTCAAGAAATAATTTGATATAATCCTATGAGATTTTTTTTTCCAATGCAATACATGGGCGAGGAAGCCGGTTGGCCTGGGTATATATATATATATATATATATATATATGTATATATATGTGGTGTACATGTCAGCTAATGAGAAGGTAACTGATAACTCTCGGGAGAAGAAAAGTACATAAGGATACTCAATTATTTCACTACGGGCCATACATTTCTCTGTGTACAACGTGGAATCCAGCTTTCATGCTGGATTTAAGGAATTGTTGTTCTCCCCTCACTTTGTACTTAAAATTAATATGAGATAAATTAAAATTAAAATTAAATAAATAAAAAATTGACAAATTATTTTAAAAAATTAAAAGTTAAATTGAATCAAACCACATACAGTTATACACCCATACCTATAAAATAACATCCCTCTCTCTAAAGACCATCACTCCTCAAAAACTGCAATTTCCTTTAAAATTAAATATCCAATACATATTTCTTTTATAAAAAAAATCCACACCATATAAAAAAAAACTTCCCACTCTCTTTTAACAACTACCACTTCTCAAAAGCTACCTTTAATTCTTTTAAAAATATTCTTCTATTAAAAAGAAATTATATTTAAAAAACATCCACAACTCATTTATTTTAAAAACTAAAAGAAAAGTATGCAAATTTTTTTTTTCAATTAAACAAATATAATCTTACCCATGCTAATAAATTTAGTTTTATATTGAAAAAATTCACGAACCAACTTACCTCAGTGATGAAAAGAATAATTGTTGCTTTTAGAGATAATGAGTTTGAGTACCAACGACTGTAAGGATAATTAAACGTTCATTTTTAAATAGTTAAAAATATTTAGAACACATATTATTTTATAATCACCTTAGCTTAATAAAAAAGTATATTGAAATAATAAGGACTTCTAATTAATTTATTTTAAAAAATGTTGTATGTTTACAAAATTAAACTACTCAAAATTTTAGAAAAGATATATAAAGAAATGGGACTTGAATTATCATTTTCCCTATTAATTTCCTTTTCCTAAAATATAGGATTTAAATTATTATTTAAATTTTCAATTAATAAAAATATAACACATGTCATATTATTATCGAATTAATTTCGGGTAAAATAAAAAAATACTTATCCGATTGGATCCAAATTGAATTTCAAACTCCCATCATCTTTATCCGGTCTAAAATAGTCTGGATTGAATAATCCGGCCCGAGGAGTCCCGAAACCCTAAATTTGCCGAACTCTTATCTCTCGCAACTATATAAATGTCCCCAACCCTACTTCTAAACCTAAAGCAGCAGGTATTTGAAATTCCCGCCCCATAACATATTATTTTTCTCAATCTTCATTATTTCAGTAGCATCTCTCTATGATCCTCAGTTCTCTTCATAAAACAATAGCTCCAGAGTGTACGAAAAGATGCAATATCAAAGGTGCTTCTGGACACGCAGATTCCAGAAGTAGGATTTGTTTGTATCTTTTTCCTATGGATTATTGCGTTTTCTCGGAAGTTCCACAGTTTTTGTTTTAAAAATCTCTATTTTTTTGTTATTTTGCTCGATGATGATTGATATTTGCTTTAACCACACTGAAAATTGAGATCTCGGAGGTTAGGCTCTTTGGTTTAACACAAAGTTGCTATGCTTCTCGTTTTTGATTTTCGCTTAATGATTCTGTTTTCTAGGGGCTTGTGGATAATGTCCTCTTCTTTTAGATTATGGAAGAAAGCTGTTGTCAAGCGCCGGAAGTACTGGCTGTTTTATTTGTGTTAAATTTCAGAGGCAAAATGCTTGCTTTCTTGGTCTCAGATGTGGAAAACCTTGGCCTTGTTCTGAGAGCAATTAATTATTCAATTTTCCATTTTATATCATATGAAATACCTTTCCCTATGTTTGAAAGAAATTGATTTGGAATTTGTCATTTATGTTTCTTGTTTATTTCAACCACGATGAAGAATTGTCGGATTTTCTACTTGAATATCTCATTCTTTCAAAGTTGATAAAGATTGAGAATTTTAAAATGGATTATAATTGGGAAATGATGACAGCTTAATTGCTGGATAGTATCTGAGCAAAGCTTTGACGAATTATCTTTTGCACGTCAGTCTGATCCCACACAAATTCTAAAACTTATGTTCAAACTTCGTAAGTACTTGTATGAAATAAATCACCGCCAGACTTTGACGATTGAAAAACTATGAAAGGGTAAGCATAGTAGAACAAATGACTGCCAGTCCAACGCTTTTAAGGATGGAAGGCTTTCCAAAATGTCGTATTTGAAAAGTTACATAAATGTATAAAATTTAAAAAAAAAATAGTAAAAAAATGTTTATAAAATTTAAAATAAATTTGTTTTAATAATTTTCTAATTGAGTTTATATTTGATTAATAGAAGATATTAAATCGTGTCAATATTATATTAGATGTTATAGGACTATAGGTTATATAATAAATTTTATGTTGGAAAAATCATAATCCCTAAACTCGACAAGCACCAATAGAAGACCGAATCACCAAACCAAGATGCAGCAACTAGATAAGGAACGCTACACACGACAGCTTTATGAAATGTGATCATCTCCCCCCTCTCACCCTCCTACTTTATTAATTAATTTTCTTCTGTGTATCCTTCGTGCTTCCTTTTCTTTCTTCAACTCCCCACCTCTGTTTGCGTCAATTATCCTCTATTTCCATTACAAACATCAACAGAAATTGTTACCCAATTCTTCCCATCCGACCATAAATACCACTTTCTTGTGATGTCGAGTGCGTACTCCTTAGGTGTTCGCGTTGGTCATAAAAGTGCTGCACCTATCTTGGTTCAGACACAGTGAAATTTGGCATGAGTTGTACCCAAGAGTTTATTTCTATCCCTTCAGACGTTGGAGAGGGTTTGGGAAGGAATGATTTACACTTTTGCTTCATCTTTACATCAACTAGTGCGGTTATCATGTGATTCAAGTCAGCAGCCCTGCTTGTTTTCCTCCAGAATTCCGAGCAGCCATTCCTGTCAATGGGAGGTTTCAACATATTGCATTATCATGTAATGCAACGTTAAATCACAGAATAATTTGGATTGAAAATGAAGCAGAGAAGGTTTTGGTTTAATACATGTATTATCATGATAATACCATGTATTATCATGCCCTGCTTTATATGTATATATATATATATATATATTACGAAAATGTTCAATTTAGTATTGACCGTAAATAGCATTTGTTACAAGAACGTTCGAAATGCATGAAGGATAATCAAAAGCAGAAAAACAAGGCCGAGAAACTCCTAAAGCAAACTGGGCATGAGTGTGAGCCACAATATTAACCGAGCGGCGGATAGTGTGGACACTAACATGGCGATGATCCCAGGGCAAAACACATGCTTCAATAAGATAAAAGCCAAGAGAGGACAAGTCAGACTCTGTAGAGAGCAACTGATGAACTACATTTGCTGCATCATTTTCTAGACGAACATGCAACCAATCCAATTCTAGGGCCAACCGAAGTCCACGAGTGATTGTCGCAGCCTCCATGTTACAAGGATCACAAGGGCTATCGATCAGGACTGCATGAGCAGCAACAACCAGCTAATGATGATCACAGGCGACAATACCAATAGCTTAAATTGTTGGTTTTCCACAGATTATGAGGGAGACCAAATCCGAGCCGATAACCTTTTCCACCAGAATGTATAAATACTGGAGAGATTACAGAATGGAGAAAGAACACAAAGATGCATTGCAAAAATGTGTCAGTTTGGATATACATCGTGCCATGTATACCAACTGATGAAACGATCGATAACAACGAAACCAAAACAGAGGCTGCCGGACTCGAAACCTGAGACGGAATCCAGCACTAGAGGGACTAACTGAGATGATTACGTTTAGAAACTACACATTCAATGGAAGATGTTATATATATTTATTTAAAAACCGATCATTTTTTTCTTTCAATTGACCAAAATGCAATTAAGTGTATAGTACAAGGGTTGTTTACCGAACAATGATGGCCACAGTCTATATCTATCTAGTTTCCCCACTCTCCTCTCCTATGAATATGATAGCTGGTCAACAATTTTTTTGTTTATCTTCTTTTCAATAAAATTCAAGAGAAATTATTTTCAATTATAATAATATGGAACCTGTAAAATATATAAACTCCAATACTATTTATAAATACTACATTTTTGAAAAAAAGGTAATACAATTTAAAATATTTAAATATCGGGTAAAATACACTAAAAATCATTGAACTATGTTTAAATTAAATTAACAGTGTAGTTACTAAATTTTCAAAGTTTAGAACTCCAATAGCAGCTGCAGAACAACGACTAAAAAAGGGAGCAGTACAGGTTGTTCAAAGTTGAAACGTTTCTGTTGATGTTGGAAACCGGGATTCACTTCCCCTTCAAATTCACATTTACTATGAAATTTGTTCTCTGCTCCGAATCTTCTTTCCAGTTTCCATGTGCTTTCTTTTTTCCTTTTTCTCTCTCCAACTTCCCAACTTTGTTCTTGTTTCATTATAAAACATCGATCAACTCTGTTGCCCAAATTCTCTCATCCGATCCAACCATAGATGTCATTTTTTTGCGGTGTCGAGTACGTGCTCTTGTTTGGCTGTTCGCGTTGGGCATGGAAGCGCTGCACCCACGTCGGTTCAGACGACAGTGAAACCTGGCCATCAGCTATCCCGGACGAGTTCGAGCCTGTCCCCAGACTCTGTCGTTTAATCCTAGCTGTCTACGAAACTGATCTCAGAAACCCCCAATGCCCTCCTGACGGCGGCTACCGAGTCAACACAGACTGGGTCTTGAAACACGCTGACTATGAACAAACCCAGGGTCGTTCTCCGCCGTACCTTATCTACGCCGACCATGACCGGAAGGAGATCGTGATGGCAATCAGGGGACTCAACTTGGTCAAAGACAGTGACTATAAATTGCTCTTGGATAATAGGTTGGGGATGCAGATGTTTGATGGGGGATATGTTCATCACGGGCTGTTGAAATCGGCGGTTTGGTTGTTGAACGAGGAGAGTGAGACGTTGAAGAGGGTTTGGGAAGAGACTGGGAGGGAATATCAGTTGATTCTTGCCGGACATTCGTTGGGATCGGGTGTGGCGGCGTTGATGGCGGTGGTGATGGTTAATCACAGGGATCGATTGGGTGGGATTCCCCGGAATAAGATTCGGTGCTATGCGTTGGCGCCAGCGAGGTGCATGTCACTTAACTTGGCTGTCAAGTATGCTGATGTTATTCACTCCATTGTCTTGCAGGTGTGATTCTCTCTTTTTTCTCAATGTTTTTGGCCTGCATTTACACGTTTACTTATTTATTTGTAATATATGCGTAAGACTTCATTTAATTCGGAAAAAAAATAAAATTTTAAATTTGACTCGACACTAAAATATTTTATTCGTAATTTTGATAAACTCAAACTCAAAGAAATTTAAAATAATAATAAACCTATAAAATAAGATTCATATATTAATTTTTAATTTTGAATTAAGTATCACAGTTCTGCATAATATAGTTATTTTATTCAAAAAAAAAGTTAATTCGCAGTCACTTTCATTTTATTTTAATTAAGACGTGGTCACTGAAATGCTGAAATGCTTATTAACATGATACGTTATCTTAATTTTGAATTAAGTATCACAATTCTGCATAATATAGTTATTTTATTCAAAAAAAGTTAATTCGCAGTCACTTTTGTTACGAATTAACTTTTTTGAATCGAGTGATCATACGTTTAAAAAAATGAAACAAAAGTGATCAATTATGTAGTTTACCCTAAAAAAATATATAAAGAAATATATATTTCTTGTATATGGTTATAGAAAACAATTTAAATTGAAATCATTTAGTATCCATAACATTATAAATATTTACATTAAATTTAAATAGAAATTTGAACAATTCAACTCAAATTTCATAAGCTCGATCCGGCTCGACTCGAAAACAGTTCAAATAAAATTTAAGTTATAAAATAAGACTCATCAACTCGATTAATTCAAAAAAAAAATTATTTGAATCGATTCGATCGAATATTCATTTCAAATAATTGTTTCAGGATGATTTCTTGCCTAGGACAGCCACACCCTTGGAAGATATCTTCAAGTCTATATTCTGGTAAAATTTTCTCTCATTTGCTTTTGCATCTTCTTATTTACCATTCTCAAAGAGCCTTATTGTTTCTGCTATTATTTGATGCTTTGTACAGCTTGCCATGCTTGATATTTCTTGTTTGCTTGAGGGATACCTTCATACCAGAAGGTAGGAAACTTAGAGATCCGAGACGACTTTATGCTCCCGGAAGAATGTATCACATCGTCGAGAGAAAATTTTGCAGGTACCAACATTTTCAAGACTCTGATGCTTCTTCATCTTTACGTCAACTAATGCATTCTGTGTATAACCAATATTGTTAACAATTTTATCTTAGATTATGGTGAGTTTGTTTTGTCTATTTATTTGATATTAAGTTATTATGTGATTCGAGTCCTTAGATGTGGGAGGTTTCCTCCAGAAGTCCGAACTGCCATTCCTGTCGACGGGCGGTTTGAACATATTGTGTTATCTTGTAACGCAACATCTGATCATGGAATAATTTGGATCGAAAGGGAATCGGAGAAGGCTTTGGGGGTGAGTGCTCTTCCTTTTCAGTTGGTATATAAGCTTCCTTGTTGTACCTTGGATTATCAGCAATATAGCTTAATTGCTGGTTCCTACACAGATTATGAGGGAGAACAAATACCAGACCATGACTGTTCCCCCGAAAATTCAGAAACTGGAGAGGTTGCAGACCATTGAGAAAGAACACAAAGATGCATTGCAAAAAGCCGTCAGTTTGAATATCCCTCATGCTGTACCCGCAGATGGTGAACTGGTCGAGATTGAGGAAACAGAAACAGAGGCTGCTGGACCCGACAATGGAGATAGGCCGAAAGCTAAACCGGAGTCAAGTTCTAGACGGACAAACTGGGATGAGTTGGTTGAGAAGCTTTTCAAGAGGAGTGAGTCAGGGAAACTACTACTAAACAAGGAATCACATACCCATTAATTCTCTATTTTTTTTCCAGTTTCCTCAAATTAATTTATTCTTTCAAACATTATGATTATTTGAAACTGCACATATTCAATTAATATGATTTTTTTTATATATTTTAAAAACCAATGCTTTTTTGAAAATAATTTTGGATTAAACAGTTTCATGTAACAAGTTCTGATTACAAATCGAAAAATCCAAACCAACATTGTCTATATTTTATTTTTGGAATCGAAGAGTGATAAAATGGTAAAAAAAGGAGCATTACATCTGGGCTTGCAAGCTCTCGAATCATCAAGGCAGCTTTGAGCGGTGCTTTATCAATCAGAATCCTCATAAACTTCTCCATCGGATAGCTCATCGAATGATCTTATGTCAAGCTGATAGCGTAGGATGCCTCCGATACCACCGAACCCTCTGCAAAACTGTGATCCTTCTTGGGATTTGTTCGTGATGAATTCGAGAGAGCAACCAAAGCGCTTATACTCGTTGGCAAACCATTCGAATAACGGCATTTTTCCTGAACTTCCAACTCCGCAGAGGTCTCGGGATCACGGAAGTTGCTCTGATCAGCCTCCTGCTCCTTACTCAGATGTTTTATGATAATTTCACCCGTTGTACTATGTTTTAGCACGTACCTATTGATCTCTAGATTTTCCCATACAGTCAGGATTTCTACAGCACCCATTTCCAGAGCCTTCAATGTATCATCTTCGCCGAACACATACTTTCCAGTATCCTGGCTTATTTCCTCAAAAAGTATTTTCCAATTAAACGCTTTTCTTGTATGAACTTTACATTCGACAGGATTTCAGCAGAGAGCTCAATAGCTTGATTAAAACCGTTTTCACCCCCATACGACACATCAACAATATTCAAAATCTTGGCTTGCAAACGAGGATCAAACATGTCGGACTGGCTCAATTCAGTCTTGAAGTCAGCTGAACCAGCCAGTATCAGCCAGAAACATTAGGCTGACTGGTTGCAGGATTAATAAAGAACTGAGTGGCCAGTTCTGCAGTTTTCCTCACATAGTTGTGCCACTTCTCCATTCTCAGACGAGCGAAACGCAGAGCGGACTGTCCTCCTCTTCCATGCTTCTTCGGTAGATCGACGGTGAATTTATGAAGCACCTCTCTCGTGTTCCCACTTAGTGTATCGAATAATGTGCCATTACCATCCATGACTATAAACCCAAACTTGTCATCAGACTCTAAAAGCTCATTCAAAGCTCCAGTATGAAACTTGTTATCACAAAGGTACAAGGAAACATTTATCGGTTTGAAAGGCTCGAAATCAATTGTCACCTTCTTTTCCTTGCCATCTTCAGTAACAATCGTCCCGGTATATAACACCAGCCCGTTGGGGGGCACCTTGTTATAGAGCTTCAACCTCTGTTGAGCAGAAGTTATGGCAGCCAACACAGATTGACGATTGACCCTACTTTTGATGTTCGATGCAGTTCCAAATTCATCACCTAACATCTTTGTGACACGGGATATCTGATCACGAGGAGGCATTATAAGAGATATCATGCTGGCACCATTTCCCCTGGCAGATTCCAGTGCCTTAATTAGCTTTTTTATTTTCCACATCTCAATGTTCTTGTCAGTTCCATGACCGTCCGCCATTTAGTGTCGCGAAGAAGAAGAAGATAATAAACTGTAAAGAATACATACAGCAAAGACATAGATTAAGCTACGAGGTAGAAAAGGAATTATGAATCTTTAACTTAGAGGATCACAATGTAAGAGCACAAAATCTAAAAAGTATAAAAAAAAAGCAAGTGGATAGGCAAAGAAACAAGAGGAACCAGCGGTAAGCTTTAGTAAATTAAGAGATCATTTACTCAATAATCCAAAGTCCGCGTTAAGTTGGTTATATCCAATCTAACAACACTCCCTCAACTATATTTTACAAATATCAATCCGCATAAGAGTGCAAAGAACGACAGATCAGCTGGATTCTTTTATCTTTTAGTTATGAACTAACTAAATCTTATCGTAATTTATTACTATGATTTAGAAGATCCTTAGGTGAAGTTGATATACTTTCTTGCAAATCATCGAAAACGGATCGAAAGGAAGAGAAGGCAATGAAAAACGAAGATTTAGAAGCAGAATAGCATATACCTTATCACTGATCGGCTGCCGAAGAAGCGAAAGTTAAGAGACGGCGGCGGGCGGTGGGTTGATTGCGAGGGTTTTCCAGAAGCTTGTTAACGGCTACCGCTCCAGCAGCACTTCTAGCTGTTTTCTTTTTGTCTGACAGCAATCCGACACCCGAAGCCAGCCCTTTTCTTTACAAATGTATATATTTGTTTAATCCTTTTTCTTTTACGGTTATATGTACGCTAGTTTGTTTCTGGAAATAAACAACTAATAATTGATTTTTTATACTAATGTATGCATTTTATGAACATACATTTGGTGGATGTGATTAGTACTTGAAAGGAAAAAAAAATGTTAAAAGAGTATTTAATAATCGTATTATAGAACTGAGTTCAAACAATTACATCTACAATGTGTGTATTGTTAATGACTAAAAAAGGTTTTAAACAAAAGTTTGATGATCAAAATGTTAAACATTGTAAAAATTCAGAGTCTAGTTATATAATTTATCCTATAAAATTTGTAAAGAAATATTCAATATATAAACCTTAAAAAATGATAGTATTCGATCCTTAAAAGACATTATTTTAAAAATTATATTAAAGAATGAAAACATAAAAATAATTTTATAATTTTCCCATTAAGTTAACACTCAAATTAACAAATAACATCAACTTAGTCAAACTCTTAATATATAATATACATTATATAAATATATTATTATTAATTGTTAAAAAACTTGAAAATATTATCTTTTATAGATTTTATTTTTATAAAAATAAATTTTAGTGAAAATTTACAATAAAAAAAGTTCAGGGATTATGTTAATATATTCTTAAGAGAAATGATTGAGAGCATCCATTTAGTTGGAACAAGAAATAGAAGCTTATAATCATTTACCACACCACAACAGCAAACCATTAAAAACACTGACAGGCAAAATGGTTCAACAAGACACCGGTACATGTTGACAATCTTACAAATACAGCACCCTCGAGGGAGATATCTCATGGGAACAAGAAATATTCGTTTCAATCCCTCAAGGACCAAAATCCCTGCCCCATGTTGCTTTCATCCTCAAGGTTCCTTCAAAATTGTAACATAGACACCATTCTATGGGAGCAACATGTGGATCCGAAAGCTTTAAGGTGTGTATCAACCTAAGAATTCTCAGCCTCCGTGGAATTCACTTCCTGTGGTCCCGCCATTTCTTGGAAGGCATCCATATCGACGGTAATCTCTTCAATATCGGCCTCCACCTCTGACATGATCTCATCCCTGTCTCCTGCCGTAGGTTCAATCCCATTTTGGATTGAATTACACTGTGGTTGAGCTTCCTCACTTGCCTTTTCTGGTCCCGGAACTGGCTTCATTTCTGGGTATGGTTTGGTGCAGACCGTCAATGTAGAGGTTACCAGCAAATTCTACAAGTACGAACAGTTAAATCATGACTTGACAGTCAGTACAAAAACAGAATAGACAAATGGGATAAATACACACAATAAAGTCATTGACTAGCTTCTTTGATCAAAGAGCCCATATCAGATTTCTGATATCCTTTTCATTTCTTCTGTTAAAATCACATTCAATTATCTGGGAAGAATCCATCGTGCATGCAACATTGGCATCTTATCAAAGGAAACAGCAGCAAAAATTGATTTGGACTTGGAAAATAATAGAATTTTAGAGGCAAAAACAAACAAAGATGCACTAGTTCTCCATTGCTTTTCAAACTAGCTTTTGGTACTAACAGTAATGAAGAATAAGGTTAAAAAATAACTTTTGGAATAAAATGTGTTTTTCAAACCGGCTTTGAGAGTTAAAAGTAATAAAGAATAATTGCAAGTTTTTATTACCATACCTTTTCTAGTGCTAGGGCAAGCTTTGAGAGTTTTGAATAGATGCTTCTTGCAGCAAGTAAGATCTGTCGAGCATAAAATTTGTGCCAAATTAAATTAAAATTTTGATAGAAGTAAATAGAAAAGGTATCATGGCATTTATCACTTCAAGAGTTCTATTAGATCCCATTCTAGACAGTTTAAGTTTGACTTGGTCACTGTAATTTCACAAAAATGTTAAAAGTACCCTTTGAAAATAAAATTTCAGTACTGGCAGCATTTGCTTCAAATGTTAACTGAAATAAGTAAGTGTAGCAAGAATCTCATGTTAGCAAAAAGTTCCACTAAAGCTTAAGGGAAATTTACAAGCTATTACTAAACTATCCATGTAGTTTGAGAATATGACAACTTTGAAATATTGTAAATACTCCATGTAGATTACCCATATGATTCAAGTTGGAAGGGGAAAGTCTAAAGTGGCACATGAGTTGTTAATCCATCTTCATGGCCCTAAGAAATTGCAACCACGACACACCCCAAAAATATCTTTATTTGGTTAGTAGACATTATTGTTAGCCTAAAGAAGAACAATATTTTGGCAAGTAGATGATATTGCGTCTGCTAACATGGCATATCTCATGGTTGAAGTGAATGGCATGTGTCAAGATCCTAGAAGTAGATGATATTGTGTCTGCTAACATGACATATCCTACAAGCATATAAGCTCACAAACAAGCATTCCAGTAACAATTCTAGTATGTTATGTTTCTGCACCAGTATAATAGCTGAACAGCACTCCATTGCTCTACATTATTGTGAGATATTTCAGCAATATGGCTGTTGCGAACGTGATGCAGCTGTCCTTGTTAGAGACATGTAAATTTGTTGTTATACATTTCAAGGTTTCAAATCTACTTACTGTTCTTTGTTATTTAGAGATATCTCAAAGATTTGCTCGAATATTTGGTGTTACCTTATATTCAAGTTAGGAGGAGGCTACTCTTTTTTCATTGCCGATAAGTTTCAGAAAGAATGTTTTCTTAGAAAATAATTCAAGTGCTAATGCAAGCGGTAAAAATTACTCACGACAACTAAAGCTAGAATCAAGTTAGAACAGCTTGAATCCAGCTAAGAAAGATAAAGCTAAATTAAGCTATGTTTGACTGAACAAGGTGTCAGTGCATAATTTTCCACAATTCTCATGCAAAAGTCACCCCTGCGCTTGTGTAATTAGTCTAAGAAAAATATAAATGACCAATGGGTTTCTCGCTTAATGTCGAAGGGAAACAAAACACAGAACACAGTCCTGTTAGTCAATTTTATTTGCTTTAACAAAGTGTTTTCTCACGGTTTTCCTATTTGCCATTTCTAGCTCTCATGTCAATGGTTCTATTCGACCTGCACACACGGAATAAATCAGTTTAACACATTGATTTGGTAAGGGAATCATGGTTCTGGATTGAAGAGTTCCATATCTAAGTCACCATCATCAGATTTAGTTGGCAGTTTAACACAATAGCTATACCCAAACACAAAAAAAGTAATAAACAAAACCAACTTAGGAACAACCAAAATTCTAGTAAAAAGAAGATTATAGTAGTAAATGAAGAATAAAGAGAGTAATAATATCAACATATAGAATATAATACAAAGTAATTACCTCACAGATTCTTTGAAGGGTAAATGGTGGGCCCTCAATAAAACAATGAAGCTCTGCAAAAGGGGAAAAATTGAATATTACAACAAAATGAAACTACAAAGCACAAATTTGAAACAATTGCTTCACATGATCAAAGAAAATCTACATGCTATTGAATACACACAAAAATTACCAAGAAAGCAAAATACAAGAATCATCTCTACTTTCCACCATTGTTTCTCCTCCATCCCACTATAAATACAAATATGCATGTTAGCTATTGTCACTGCTCCTTGTGACTAATGATTTCTTTTTTGCCCTTCATTATTTTTACGGGGAATAGAAACTTTTTTAAACTACTAGTAGTTAACACTTGATCTAAATGACAAATGAAAGTAAAAACAACCCAAAGACAAAACAAGAATCATCATTTTCTATTTCAAAAAGGCTAGAGAAAGAGAGAGAGCACAGACTATTCTTTATTTAATCACCAATATAATCCAGAATTTGACTCCAGGGTAACCATCACCGAGTACACTTCCATCCTATATAACATTAGGTAATACCTTCCAGGGGAGTCACTAAGTAAGGAGATGAAGAATTCTTACAAACTCAGTAAGTATTACAATTCCCTTCATTACCTTTCCAATTATTCATACAAAATTCTCCTCATACCCGAATGAATGTTTCTTGTGTTTCTAATTTGGTAAAAAGTGTGTTGTTGTATCACAAAGGGATATTGTTGTAACTAACTACCAATTGGTTTAGCAGGATGAGGCGCTAGGTTCTTTAAACAAGGTCCAAAGTTGGAATCAAACATTGTGAATGAAACAAACTGGGTTGGGAGGGTCGCTCCTATAATAGGCCTCAACCATACCCAATCCAGATTAGTCAACGAATGGATCAGATACCAATGGTTATACTAAAAAAGGAATATTGTTGTTGATCTCTTGTTTGCATCCAAGCTAAGTAAACGAGCAATACGCTGATTGAGCATAGATTCAAGTAGTACTAGCATGCTCATATACCCCTCATAATCAGCATTGCTCAGGTTATTATTCCTTCTAAGAACACAAAGATGCTTTAAAACCAACTATTTTGCTCACATTTAGGATACATAAGAAAACATAGTCTGGAAAGTACCTTCATCTAGCCGTGTAACCAACTCTAGGTAAGTTTCACCCAATGAAGCATTTTGTTCATCAACTGTCATTTTGGCCTCAGGATATTCTGATAAAACCTTTATGGTAGATCAGTGAAAGAAGTAAGGATCTATATGAAGAAATACTACTGAAAGAGAAACTATCAAATTTCACAATCTACAAAGAACGATTAATCCTTAACAATCCTAAGTTAAGCTATAAAAATCAAAACAATTATTTATAATTGCCGAAGAGATTAGAGAACACGAAAATAACCAGTTTCAATTTAGAGGATAGCATGCTCTTCAGTTTATCCCAACTATGCCTGCAATAAATACAGAAAACAAGAATTACACTAAAACCTGTATTTATTCTCTTTCATGTTCTCACAACATCTGAAAAACAACCAATTTTCGCCAAAATACATGATGCATAAAACTATATGTGGAAGTATCAATTTTACATGACGACAGCATTTGGAATTTCGGAAAAACCAATCGACATACAATTCTGTTCTTACAAACCATCTAAATTCCCCCCATATAAGCCACCTCAGACCTTCTAAGGATGAGTCCATGATAGAAGACCCAATAAGTCTTTAAAACAAACTTTTATTTGGGAAGGAAATGGAGAAGTCTTAACTTGGTAACTTGATTAGGCTGTTAATTATTTCTTACTACAATAATTTTGTATATCAAGTAAATATTTTCCAAATGCAATACATAAAAGTAGCTATGTTGGATTACCTCACACTTATTAAGACACAAGGATGAAGAATTCTCTCTTATATTGCTTCATCATTAAAAACAGTTAATAGTGGAGTCTAGAAAACATTTCCTTAGTTGCAAGTTTTAACCTACTAAGAGCTAGTCTCTCCAAGAGAGTCCTCTATACATTCAACCACATCATTCTGTAGTGTGGGGAGATGTTGTACAAATGTCCCGGGTTTCCACAATACCCTAATTGCTCTCAATTGATCTCTTTATTTAACTCACTATTTTGTTTCGCAAGTCCAACTGAGAGATACAAATTACATTAGTGACAGTGACTGCATAATACAATCAAACTTAGGTACAGTAAGACACGTACCAAGCTAGAGATTGTTTAATCTTCTTCTCTATCACATGGTTCTAGAGACGCAAAAAAACTTGTGCACGACCGAGGAAAACCACATTTCTTATACACAAAATTTGAAGTGTAGGACAAGAGAAGCTATACATATCAACACGAAGAAGCGTTCTTTCATGAAATCAAGAGGGTGCCTTTTGGCCAAACCCAACTAGATTTGAATGAATCACCAATAAGTAGGTTCACAACATTGAACAATACGAAAATACCATATTCATATGTAACTACAAGTTAGGGAAAAAGAAAAATTCCATACCAAAAATTCCCAGTGGTGGAAATAACTTGCAATATGCGCCTAACTTGTTCTTCGTCTTGTTCTTGTTCATGTTCTTGCTCTTCTTCTCGATTAATCTCAGGGTTCGAGTCCACCCTAAAATCACAATAAAAAATATGGTCGCTCATCCAGTCAGTAGAAGAATTCGACAAAACCAATACTAATTATATGAAGAAAAAAAAACAAATTTGAAAGAATCCTAAAACCCACCCACGGTTGAAAACCTGCTCTTGGTCGTGGTCATTGCCAGTGGAAGAATTTTCGGTGACAGGAGCCTCCATTCCTGCTTTGGACTGAGATTTGAGATTAGAGAAATTTCACTGCTCTGATACGCAAGAGGAAGGAGTAGAGTGAGCTGTACCCTTTCCCCCTACTTTCCCCCTATCACCAATTTTATTAGGGCAAAATTATAAATTTAATCACTAAATTTTACTTTTTTTTTCTATTTTTATCGTATTTTTATTTTTTAATTTAATTAGTAAACTTTACCCATTAAATTTTTTAATCACTCGTCCTTTTTTTCATTAACAGCCCAATAACATAATTTTCTTTATTAATATTTAATTATAGTAATATGTAAAATAAAATTCTTAAATTTTATCAGCTCTCCCGCCGCCTTCCCCTTCCTCTTCCCAACACTAAAAACACCTCTGTTTAGGACCAACCAAGCACACTGAGCTGAATTTGTAGAATACCATGAGACCAGCCACCACATCTATCAGCGTTATGACTTGAATTTCAAACCCTCACCTATTTCGAAAAACCATGAGACCAATGAAAAAGGTTATGGAAAATACCGATTTGCAAAAGAACCAAACTTCTGGCTCTGCATTTTCAAAGCATAACCAAACTTCTGGCTCTGCATTTTCAAAGCATAAACAACATCCATGACAGTAGAGAGATCGGTCTTGCCTCTTGAGTCCTCCCTTGTCAAGCCTTTTTTATCCCTTTCCCCTTCCTAACAGTTATGTAGAAAATCTTCAACTTCCTGGTAGTACTCTTCAAATCACTCTGGTTTTTTGTTCTCTAATGGCGTCGTCAAGAGAAGTATATTATAGGGGTGTTCGGAAGCGTCTACGGGGGAGATACGCCGTAAAAATATGTGATCCGTGGTAGAAGACAATGGTTTGGTTAGGTACATTCGACACACCGGAGAAAGTCGTGGTTCCAAAGCTAAAACCAACTTTTCGTGTCGCCGTCTTCGTTGGATCTTTCTCTCGATCTCAATCTCCCAACCGATCTCCATTATCATTGGGCTTCATCTAAGAAAAAATGATTTTTTATTTAAAGAAAAATTCCGTCGCTTCTACTTAAATTTAATTTTTTTTTATAAAGATTCAAAAATACTACGTTTTAGTATTGGTTGTCATATCATAATCCGTTAATTATTTAGTTGCATAGTAACTAAAATAATTTAAAAATTTAATGAATAAATTAAAAAAAGTAAAAGTGTTGTTTTAGTATTCGAACTTAAAATCGTAAGAAATAATAATATTTTTTTTACTACCAGTGTGACATGGTTCGTACCCTTTATTTTATTTGTTAATTTTGGTGCTCTTATAAGTTTTTTTAAATTATATTATTAAATTAAGTGTAAAGTATACACAATAGCAGGGAGGTTCTTCACACCAGGAGTGGATACTGCCAAAATTTACTGGAATTTGGTCCTTATTCAACCCAACCAACAATGTTAAGAGTCTAGACAGACCGAGATATGACCTCGGCCACCAGCGCTGATGCTGGTACTATTCATCTTTCGATCTCGGGTTTGGATAAAAGGCACCACCTGTTGCTATCCCATATTCTGCACATCCTCCGGTGAAAGTATCTTTATGTACCAATCATTATTCACAAATTCCCTGCATGTTTCGTTATCCAAACAAAAATTAACCCTGCTTTAATGCGCTTAAAACCAGAATGATAATCGAAGGAAATGTCATCACAATGTAAGGAAAACCTCCACGAGTTTTACTTACATGATTCGGTCTCGTGATGTTCCCATCAATTGTAAAGATTATGTATATGATGATACAATAGAAAAAACTTACTCCCACGGGTCGTCTCCAAGGAGAAGAATATCATTCTCCCTGTTGACAAATACAAGCTGCCAGCCTGATCTAAGAGGGTCTTCCAACTTCCTCTCAATTCCAAAAATCTGAGCCAACTCCTCTCGCAGCTCGTGGTAGCTGCTGAATCGGGAGATGTCCAATGAGCGCCCCACCGACCCTGATTTATAAACCTACAAAAAACAAAACCATAGATCATCATTATAATCTTGAGAAAATTATGATGAAATATGAAATCCACTTTAGAAACTGCTGTTCATATACCTTGACAAATGTTCGTGTTGGAGTCGGCGGATCAACTACCCCTGCGCTCTGCAACTCCGAGGAGTCCTGCATGCAACCATATAGAGGAGTCTGGAATGAGGGATCCTCCAATGGAATTGAGGGCACATCAGCTTCACTTGAAGATGTAGTGAAACCAGGCATTGAGATGCGAAGTAGAAGGCCATAAGAATTGTTGTTAACACCAAAATGAGTAGGATTCTGGGCATCCTTGTTACATATATATAGCTCGGTTATAGCATCTTTTCCAGGAGAAACTTTTGGAACCGATGTTGAGCTAGAAAAGGCATTTACCTGTGAATGAGTATATTTTGGAGCCCAGGACTGCTGGGGTAACTGGTCAGCTAGCATTGACTGACCAGTTGTGGAGAAATTCAAAAGATTTGCACTGATTTCAGGACACAATGAACACAGCATATTCAGAAGAGGGGGGGGGGGGCGATTCAGAGAACTTTGCTGAGTTAATAAAATCTGGTTTCAGAAACGATGAAGGTGCATTCACCTGCTGCCTCTGCTTGAGTTGATCATTTTGAATCATGTTATGCTGTTTCTGAGCCTGCTCCTCTGGTTGATTGCTTACTTCTTCCTGTCCGAGGACCGGGGGCAAGTTCTCGGTTAGAATTTGGGACTGCTGTGCCTGTAAAAGTGAATTATAGCTGCCTGGTTGTTGAACATAAGATTGCTGCAACTGCTGTCTCATAAGATCCCCATTTACTAAGTTCTGCAACCCATTGGATAGCATGGGTTGGCACTCCAGATTATAATCATTTCCAGGGAAACTCGAATCTAGTTTCTGCTGCATCCATGGATATGAGACGAAAGACGGAAGATTCGGAGATTGTAGTTCTTGCTCTCTGGGTCCCCCCCCCCGGCTACATCAACCCATTAGATATATCATCTCTGTTATCTGCAAGAACATAACAATCATTGTGAAAAATCCAGGGAAACCGATAAGAAAAAAACGATAGTAACTAACATATTGCCATGCATCATGACCAAACTGTCCAAGTTAAGGTAAGCAGTGAAAACCAATATAAATGTCAAGCCTTCAAAAGGGGGGCTTCAGGATACCGACTCAGAAGAACAATACCATGCAAAGAAGAGGAACCAAAATGCCAAGAACGTTTCAATCTGAGGGGAAATAGAGATGGATACATTGGAAAAGTTGTTAAAGGCTCAATCTACCACAACGATACCCTCGGCTGCCTCTCACCAGGCTCATCCCAACCAACATACACATAGTAGTGGGCAAGAAATCAAACTCAACTAAAAAGGAAAAGAAAACACTCATCTTTTTCACGAGCAAGTAAAAAACAAATTCACAATCAGAAGTAAAATGCCATGCATTCTAATGGGACTTAAAGTAACTCTTAACACTGATGGGCGAACCTTCGGTTTAGCATTTTGCATCTCTTCCCAAAACTCACAGGATAGATACGTACAAGGAAATGTAAACCAGGGAACGCAATTCAGGGCATATAGTATCGTACAAGATTCCAACTTCACATAATCATCCAACTAGAATAAAGCTCTAAGAAATCATGGATACTAAGCGGAGGTGAATTTTTTCGCACACTAAAATAGGATATGCCGCAAACAATAAGAAAATGTGTCATGCATCATCTATCATGTGATCCATGCATGCATATGTTAACAATTACCTTCACAGACAGCCAATGGGAATTTGGCCAACGAACGGGATCCAAACTACTTATACCAGTTATTGTACATATACCTTGAGAGGGGGGAATTTGACATTTACATATGAGCAAATAAATGATGCAACATGGAAACAGTATTGCTTCAATACATACATAAGTCATTTGCCACCATATCACAAATTCAGAAAAAGATTCTAACCAAAATATATAGATGGCTTTCGAGAACAAGAATCATATGAACAGAAGCAAGTCATAGAATCGCATGAAGTAAACCGATAAAATAATATTAAAGGAACCATTGATAACAATAATACCTACGAACACTTGATTCTTCTGACTCAAAAAAGCATCCTAAAACGCATACCGACTGACACGTGTGTGGAAAACAGCTTTGACATACTTTGAAAATGTTATCACAAAATCAGATGGGCTAGCCCTGCATATTAGAGAAGAAAAAACAACTTTGTTAACAGATAAGGCATAAAGAATAAATGAGAGGTAAGAAATCATCACCACCTCGGATTATAAAATACTGTAAAGCAGCTATTAGTTGCAGCAGCATGAGCTGCAGCAGCAAGTAGTCCAATGTGCATGCTATCACTAGATAAAACAGATGACGACATTACAGTTTGTGAGCGAGCAGCACGGTGAATTCCCAAAAGAAGCTGTTCTTTTCATTCCTAGTGACAGAAATTGGCCGGTCAATAATAGTAAAGCTTCTAGCTTTTTTCTTGGCAAAGTACCCGAAAAACATATTCAGCAACATGAGTAGGAAAAAGAGAATATGAATACCAAATAAAAATAACAGAATCCCTTGCAACAAGTCTCTTGGCACTAACAAACACACTCCAGCCTGTAGTAAGAAGGTGGCGTTTAGGCTGCCCTGCAAGTTGTTTGACACCACATCAAATAAAATACAACATCAATGGTTGTACTATTAGATGGATGATTTTAGCGTCCAACAAAAGAAAATCTAATTTGTTACTAAAATAGTTGTCCAAAGCAGATTACAAAAAGACGGTACAACCATACTTCCCTTAACCACAGGCACAAAAGAACGATTATAATATACAAGTCAATCAACTGGGAACAAAATCTAGGATATGTAAACTTCAGTTGATATGTTATTGAGTTTAGAAGTTCATTTAATAATTGTTAGTTCGAACCCCTGCCGAGATAAACCACTTAATTACAAGATTTTCATTATTTATGGTGAAAACTCATACCTGGTTCCAATCACACATTGCACTGATACTAAAAAAAGTGGCAATAACTTCCCGATTCTCTTAAAGCATGCATCAAAACACTTGATTTGAAGCACATTAATCTTCTAAGTCCGTCGGCATCTTATTGATCTATCGCTTTGATGCTCCTCTACATTTGAAAGTTGATATTTCAACAGTATGGGCTGAAAAGAAACCTTTCAGTCTTCATTTTTGTGAATCGTTACCATGATTTTGCACAATAATCCAAATTTGGTTTCCGTGACATAGTTTCTTAAGTTAGCTTAGAGCCAAGTTCAAATTCAGCAAAGGCACGGTACCTCTAGAACAAGAACAGATATAAATACAATGTAAGAATTCTAAGAATATGACTCAGTCAACTCCCTTTTCCGAACCAGTAAGTATTATTAACCAAACCCAGTCCATCTCTATTAACCACATCAAAGAAAATGCCATTCAACGTGAACACAGGTACAAGTCATATGCTTCATTTATGACTGTTAAAGGAGATCCATAGGGTAGAGAGAAAATTCTAAATATTGGAAAAGAAATGTGGATATGAGATGTAGGAGAAAAGAACAACGAACTTAGAGATGATTATAATCTATGAAAATGCTTTGATAGGAGCAGCAGTTGAAACTAACCTCTAAATATATGTCTAAATTTCCACTGAACGTCGTGTAGATCCCTTGCAATAAGTTCCTGAGCTGGTGGCTGTTGCGAGAAGTCCTGCAAACAAAGAATAAACACATCAGCACTAAGAAACCAGCTTGAAGGTAGAGATATACAAGCCACAAGGCATAGATTACCAGTGGCGGAAATACTTTCTCGGCAGCACGACGAGGAATATAAAAACCACCATGGGTACTAGTATCACTTGCTGCTAGCGTCTTGTAGAAATAATTGGTTGGCTGCTTGCTTGGAATCCCCAACTCCATAGGAAGAAACGTATCCTCTTGCTCTTCCTATATACATGAGGAACAAAAAAGAGAAAAAAAACATATAAAACAAACCCAAAAAAGTATATTGATGAAGTGAAGAAGAAAGCAATGTTTCTTACAGGTGTCAAAGGTTGCAATGATATTTGGTCGTATACTTCATCTGTCTCAACATCAGCCTGAAATTATAATACATGCATAAGCTGTGCTTGAACTCTTTAAGCATTAAATGACTGAAAATGAAGTGGTAAACTAAAAGGGAAAGAACTTGGTTACATGCATGGTAACATTGTGAAGCTGACATATCAACTGAGGAGGCAAGTTGGGATAATTTGGAATGTGGGTGTCGACCTCCTTGTTAGTGGTAGCTGCTACCTGCAAATTGATCACATTTTCCATTGTTTTTGGACCTAACAAGGAGAGATATTTTGTGACGTATAAAATATATATATATATATATATATATAAAAGAACTGTTCGCTATGACCCTGGGGAAAGTAGACAACGCGAGTCCCCGCGGTGGGTAGACAAACCCGTGGGCCAGCGCAGGCATGCCATAGCTCACTAGCTCAGAGTTCAAGCACTTGTTTTCCCCTAATAATCATTGATCATTCGTAATAATTTGAAAAAAGGAAGAAATATGAACAAATAAAACGATTTACGTGCACGTGTAACAAGATTTACATACATGAAAAAGTATCATACTAGTAAATTAAAAAAAACAACCTTCACGAGCCTGCTGCTGACCCAGACCTGATGTTGAAAGCTTCATATAACACAGGACATGGTAAAACCCTAAAACTTCAAAACAAAAGGAACCCCATTTTAGATCTTAAGCCCGGAAAGTGGAAGAAGAATAAGAAGATGGCAGAGTTTCCTCTTCTTCTTCTACAACACCATAGGCATTGGGTATACGGTTTTTCTGTATCACTAAGACTAAGCCAAAACAAGGGAAAAAAGAAGAAGGGAAGAAAGTGGTTTTTATAGGGGAGTGGACCACCAAAAACTGAAGTACGAGGGAAGTAGAGAGAGGGAGTTTAAAGAAGTTGGAGCAGAGCATGTGGCACCATCTTTCAGTGGTAGCTGTCACAAGTACCGATTGATTGAGGTTCATTATACTTTTAATAGGGGGAATTATCAACAGCTGTAGACCTTTTTCCGGCCATCAAATATGTCCTTTCACTCAAAATTACTTCATTACTGACATCTTAATGAATCTATGAAATAAAATTAAAGAGAAAATAGAAAGGAAAAAAATGTCAGGATGCGGAAATACTAGAAATCTTAATTCAACTTTGACTTTCGATTAAAAAGAGACCATTCCTTTTCTTAGAACAAATCCACGGTATTAGTGTCATGATGTATTTAATTTATTTTATTTTTAAAAAAATTAACAGTATTTTTATTTTTAGGATTTTCTATTATTTATTATTTCATATTTAAATTCTATAAAAAAAATTGATCTCTCAAATGTTCTAAAAAAACAATATATTTATCATATTATCATTCATATGTAAATTACTATCAACTCAACACATATGCATCGTTATATTGATAGTATAACCATCATTGCCAATTTTAATTAATTATTTTTTATTTTAAAATTTAACTGAATGAAAAATATATCTAAAAATTTAATTAATATTTAAAAAAATAGGAAAAGAAACTATTTACATCCTTGAACAAAAAATAAACTAGTAAAATAATTACTTACGCAATTATCGTATAGTTGATTACTGGTTTTTGGTGAAGCTATTTGTGGTGCATCGTTTTTGGTTTTGCAGGGGTTTAAGGCATTTAATGCGATAATATTTTCAAATCATAGGTCAACATTTGCGTATTTTTTTTATAATTTGATAGGATTATAACGCAATATTTATTTAATCATTTTAATTATTAAGAAAGCACATATATTTTATAAATATAATTTTTTAATATATATTCTTTTATCGATTGCTGGAAATACCTTATCTCAATTTGAAAAGGTTGTTTCCAATAACGAGTAAATTTAATAGGATGGTTGATGAGATATTAAATTTTAAGATATTAGATCTTATTAATATTTCATTATTAAACCAATAACTCGTTGTTAAAAAATATATTAATATAATGTATATATATATATTTTTTAATTTTATCAGTAATATAATTTTTAAATTTAGTGCAATTGTTGATTTTTTTATTAATCTAGATAAATACAAACTAATATTTGTTCAAAAAACACTCTCAATCATTTGACATTGTTCAATCATACCTCTGGCATTACCAATGCTTAAACCGATACCTCAAAGAGTAATAATAATTCTTTTACCACTGAGATCACAGGAGTTCATGCGTGATTGAATATTAAATCTCTTTTCCGATAGTTCGTGGTTCCTTTTTAATTGTAATTTATACAGTTTTTATTTTTTTGATTAATATATAGTATAAATTTATTAAACAAATAATATTTATTAATATGACATAAAAAGGATGCATAGACAAGAATAACATTAAAGTAAAAGGAGAGTAAATTGAAGACCCAAAACAAATCAAAGCCAAAAAGGGAGTAACTTATTCAATTGTTAAAGCAAAAAGGCAAACGTGTTTGCCAAGTCCATATCATGGTCGAAGCAGATTGATTCCAAATGAAACGGTGCACATCATGAGCCCCAACAATGCCAAGAACCCGAATCTCCTGCACAATCATATCAACAACTTTATCAACATTCCATTCTTTTTTACATGTAATCCACGTCGGTTAAAGAAAAGAAATACCCAAGATTGAGACGGTTCTTGGGATCGCCGGTGGCATAGCCGGTGAAGTAGAAATAACGGGATATGGTGTAAACAAGGCCGAGAGCAGCTGAAACGCAAGGATGGCCCATCCCTCCCAATATCAGCAACACGAAGAACATGGGCATCAGCTCCAGCGAGTTCTGATGCCCTCTCTGCAATCATACATAAAATTCCAAGTTACTATTATGAGGAAATGAAAGGCAAATGAAGGCAAAAGGGGTATGTAAGAAAGAACCTGAACACAGTTAAAGAGTTTGGCATCTTTGTTTTCCGATTCGAGGGCGTAGAGGGTAGGGTAAAAGACCTTGTACTTCTTGCGAGCTTTCCCAACTTGGAAAGCCATCCACAGGTTGAGAAAGCAGTAAAGAACCACCACCATCACTACATATCCGAATTCCTTTGCCAATAACTCCATCTCTTATCGTCTTCTGCTTCTATATTTTTCTTTTACTGCTCTTTATATATCAACCGCTCACTGCTTTGTTTTCCAGAGTCTTCCTCCTATGGGAATCCCCGACTTGCTCACCAAGTAAACTAGACAAATTAGTCAAACCAAAGGCCATCCACTTGTTTTTTTTCCCTTCTTTATTGCAGGGTCTATTCAAAACTTAATGCCACAGGGAAAAGACAAATGGAATTATTCTAGTGAGTCCTTAGGCCATCTTATGTTTATTTAGTTATTTTATTAATTTATTTATATTTTAAACTATAATAAAAATTATTATTATTAGTTAAAAATCCTTAAAAATTAACATTTTACCTAATAGAAAATATTTTTTAAAAATAAAATTCCTATAATCAAGAATATTAAAATTGAAAATTTCCATGGACGGGATGACGATCAAAATAAATCATAAATATTTTAAATATATATGAAAAAACAAGGATAATAAATTCTATCGTCATAATCATGTAAAAATAACAAGGAGAAACACAAGGGAGTGTGAATTTGGAAACAACGCTGTCTTACAATGCTTTTACATTGAAACAAAACGCCAAGGACTTCAATCCCTTTATCACATATGTTCAAGAAGCTAAGCCAGTACACTGCTTAAGGCATGACAGACATGAACCAACAACCAAAAAAATAGTTAATCTCCAAAGTTTATTAAATGACTGAAATCCACACTCACTTCTTTAGCAGCATAGCGCTGCATTGTGCCATTATCTTTGATGCCCTGGTAATAGAATCAGTCATGTAGAAATTCTCAACAGCAGCCTTGAATGGTGTCGAGTCTACCTTCCGAGTACAGTCGGGGCTCAATGACGGTCCAAAAGCAGCCGGTTCTATCTCATCAGTGCAGAGTAGGTTTGGTGCCACAGTGCTCATCCTGGATCGTATGGCTGATAATGTATCATAAGGTAAACAAATTCCTGCAACCTCAGAGAGAGCTCGAATGATCTTCCAATCATCCCTAGCATCACCCACTGTAGGGACTGCAGGCAACGTTTGCTGAGTGCACCCTTCTGTATTTTCATATGTGCCCTCCTTCTCGCTGAATGCTGCTGAAGGAAGAATTACATTAGCACGATAGACACTACGGTCCCCATGGTGCCCCTGGTACACCACGAAAGCATCCGCCGGAACTTTGTCCAAGTTCACATCATCAGCACCCATTAGATACAATAATTTTGCAGACTCAATGCTATTGCTGGATTCTGGCACGAGTCCAAGGTCAAGGGCTGCAGCCTGGGAAGCATTGAGAAGTAAAACATTGAATCCATTCCAGTCAGGTCTGATGACATTCCCCTTCTTTGCAATGGATTCAACAGCAGCAAAAATTGCATCTTTGTCGTCCCTCTCAAATATCCCAGCATCGACAATGACAGCCGGGTTTTTAGCATTTGAGATTACCGAAGAAAAAGGATGACGTCCCTCAGCAATCTCAAGAATTGTTTGTGGGCCAGTGCCAAGATGCTGACAGTCATAGTTGAAGTCTGTTAGAGGACCAATGTAGCCGACTTTAGCATTTGATGCCCGAACCGTCTTACGAATTCTGGCATTTACCATAGCGGCTTCAACCCTTGGCTGAAAATTAGCATGAAATTATATGATTATTAGGCTGAAGAGTAACATGAAAATATATGATAATTATACTATATACTTGCTATATTTAAAATCCAATCCATCCACATTATTTACACATCTTATTGTTCTCACAACAGTATCTTTTTTCTTTATTTGATTGGTGCTTAGAATCTTGTGCTTTATTGATAGCAATATTTTCATTCTCTTATACCCTCGATGTAACTCGTACATTTTTTGTTCTCAACAGAAATAATTCAAAGAATGAAGCAGTCAAGCAGCAGTATGCATCCAAGGATGTCCATTCAATTTAGAAAAATGCAGCACCTATCATGGGAGGTATTCAGTTAAGTAATTGCTATGCACAGTGAATGTGGATAAAAGACTGACAGTCAGAGTACATGAAAGAAGTACAGAACGTGAGAATTTGGGTTGCTAGAGCATTACCTGGGTACCAACCAAAAGGAATAAATCAGCCTTCTCAAGCCCAGAAATACTGCTATTCATGAGATATCTATATCTTAGGTCAGCATTAGGGCTTGTACCAGTTCCTTCGCACCACACATTGTTTGACCCCATGTTGTTTAACAAATCTTTCAGAGCCATCATTGATTCAGCATCGGAAAGTTTACCAGCAACCCCAACAATTTCTTCTGGTTTAACCTTAAGGGCAACCTCTGCAACAACAGCCAATGCATCACGCCAGCTCACAGCCTTAAATCGACCATTAGCATCACGAATCATAGGGTCATTTAGCCTCTGTCTCTTCAATCCATCATAACAGAAGCGAGTTTTGTCTGATATCCATTCTTCATTTATATCCTAAAATGTCGGTGACACAAGCAAAAGTTACTTATCTTGTAAAGTTAGATGGGCAAACAGAACATTAAGAAGCCTTTTTCTTCTCTTTTTTCAACTTTTTATTGATGATCAGAAACATTTCAATCATTAATGAATGTTACTAGGATAAACAATAAAACATCTGTAGGAAACTATAATCAGCTTTGAAAGTACAATTGCCTTCAAATTTTAAAAATTGAAGCTTCAGCAATTTATGACAAGAAAATTTAGTTACTCTGAATCTTGAACAAATTGGGAGAGGCATTTAATCATTTTTACCTTAAAGAAGCAAACTCTGATAGAGAAGTCCACAATTCACAATTTTCACGTTCTTTTAGGGGGCATAGGGGTAAGGGCCAAAATTTACAACAAGAGAGAGTCCGAACAAATGCAATTATTGGACGACAACATGGAAGTATTAACTCTATCCCATGTAGTTCATGCCATACTTTTACCTATCAGTAGACACAACTCACAACTGAAAAAAAGAAGATATCTAGCTAGAAACTACAGCGGAAAATATACAGAATGATATCAGAATTGTGTTGTTACATATGCCACAATAATCACATTGACAATTTAAATCTAGAATAAATCAATTTCAGTTTAGGTGTCAGACTCACAGCTTTTCAAGAACTATATAGAGCCTGTTTTTCATAACAGAAACAATACAGGTCAGAGTTACTGAAGTGATAAGATCAAAACAATTTAAGAACTAGAACAAAAGCAGTCAACAGATAGTTCATTGCTTCATGAGCATCAGATAAGAGATTTGTAGAAGTGAGTGTACCATAAGGCGTAAGCGGCTTATGACAATTTACACTTACCTCATTTAAACGTGGAAGGATACGCATAACCTCGGGGCCTCTGCTATCAATCCGAATGTTGGATCCAACCGCATCAGTCACATCAATAGTCTCTGTTCCTTTCAACTCCCAGTTTCGGGCCTTAAATGCAAAGGGTTTAGAGGTAAGGGCTCCAACAGGGCAGATATCAATTACATTTCCAGAAAGTTCACTTGTCATAAGTTTTTCAACATAAGTTCCAATTTCTTCTCCACTACCACGACCTAACATGCCAAGATCCTGTGTTCCAGCAACTTCTGTTGCAAACCTGACACACCTGATGAGACCACAAAAGTTAGTTGCCTCAAACTCTGACCTATGGAACATAGAAGAAAAATAAAATTGCTTATGGATATTTCTCAAACAAACAAACCCCAAAAAGATCAAAAGGCATTGGCCAAAAAACGGCTTAAATAAGATGCAAACTTTAGCTCAATACTCAAAAAAGAAAGAACACTAAAGAGGCCTTGGAATATCTATTTATGAACCACAGAACCCAAACAAAGCTTCATTTGGCATCATTGAGGTGTTTCCCACAAAAAACACCGATAAGCATTTGACTTCATCAAGGGCACAATTTTGTGAGCAAAGCTTTAGAACTTAGATTGAAATGTGTAAATATTGAAGGACAGCATCAGTCTACCATAGTGAAGTAACGCAAAATTCAAGCTAGATATTATATAGGCCAACTTAATCACAATCTGATACAAAACATTCCAAGTGCAGGACAACACATGATTAAAAAGGTGGACATATAAACAAGCAATAGCAGCAATATTAGTGAACTATCATTCAAGTGGAAGCAATCAACATCTGGATTCAAATCGTAATATCCTAAAGTTTATAAAGAAGTAAAGCAGTCGGGGATATTGTTAGGTTAATTTCAAACCTTGTACACTGAATGCACCGAGTCATGACAGTCTTCACCAAAGGACCAAGGTTCTTGTCAACAACAGATCTCTTCATTTCAGTAAAACGGCCACGATCAGATCCAAATGCCATAGACTGATCCTGGAGATCACATTCTCCACCCTGATCACAGATTGGACAATCCAGTGGATGGTTCATCAGCAAAAACTCCATCACTCCTTCACGTGCCTTCTTTGCCAATGGTGTATCCGTCTTAATCTTCATTCCTGTGTTATAGTCCCAGGAAAATTAGAGAACGTGATAAAATAATCAAATAATGTATTCAGAAACCAGAATCAAATCAACATATAACAAAAAGATATATTTATATCAGCAGCAGCACAACTTCCTAAAGGTTAAATTGTTTAGAATGAAAAGCACTTTCGCTTTGAAAGAGCAGTTTCACTTGAATTCTTAGTATTTCGAAGGCATGATTGCTAAAAAGGTAAAACAAAAAAAGAATTACTCAACATATACAAATTTTAAAATAGACAAAAGAATTGGATCATAGCGTAACGAGTCATAGCGCTATATCTTTCTTAACATTAAAAGAATAAATAATAGCATTAACAAAGAATCGTAGAAGCAAACTAAAAAGTATGGCGTTAATTTGATAGCCTAATCCAAATCACTAAATACATCGCGAATCTGCATGAAATAAATAAAATTCAATCACCCGTAAAGGTTAAATTCAAACAAAATGAAAGAATTGAGCTAAAATGCAAAAATAAAGGGCATGAAATCGAAAGGTTCACCAGGGAGGGCGGGCATCGCGCAAGAGGCGACGGGCTTGGGGGATTTTTCAACCTCGACAAGGCACATACGGCAGTTCCCAGCGATCGAAAGTCGGCTATGATAACAAAACCTAGGAATGTCAACTCCAGCGATCTCGCAGGCCTGAAGAACAGTCATGCCCTTAGGGATTTTCACCGGGAACCCATCGACGAACACCTCGATGGCATCATCAGGGTTCGTAAACTCTACCCGGGCACCGCCCACGGGCTTCTTCGGCGGAGGTGGAGTGGGTTCCGGCTGGGCTGCTGCTGCGGCCGATGAGGCATCGGGGGATTGGAGGCCGGGTTTGGTGACGATGGGTCGGAATCGAGAATATTGTGAAGAGAGAATCCTGGAAGATTTAAGGGTTCTTGAAGCTAACGAGCCTAAACCCATTTCTCAGTACGAAGAGATCTCTAAGCTAGCTACTTTTGTTGGAGTTGAGAAGAGCGGAGAGTGATTTCCTATGGCACTGAAACGAAATGAACTGATAAGAAGGGCGTGTGATTCCCCGCGAGTCGGGTTTCAAGTTGACCCCTTTTTGTCGACTCGATCGCCCTTGGGATTCTATGCTTCGTTTCTAAATTACGTTTGTACCAAAATAACCATCTAAATTTAATTTTCCCCAAAAAGCTTTTAATAAAATAATAAATATGACTTAACAACCTAAAATTTTAATTCTTTACAATATTAATATTTTAAAAATCTCTAAAATCTTATCATTTATCATCCAAACATCCTAATTATGTTGCCAACAGCTATTCCACCCTCGTTCGATCAGCTCATTCATCTTACTCTTCTCAACCCTCGTTCGATCTGCTCATTCATCAACCCACTTATTTAGGAGTATAGTGCAGTGTTGTGTTCTTTTTAAACTCCAATTCAACATGTTTATCATTTAGGAGTCAATGGACACAGCTGACATGAAATCAACTTAAAATCAAACTATATTAATCTTATAGTCGAACACAACTTCCAACTATCATTATGATTTAGTTACAGACACTCGCATGAACATGCAAGTCGTGAATGTATTTTATTTGCTTGAATTATTCAAGAAAATAGAAAAAGCAAGACAAGATAAAAGCAGCAAGCATTTGCAAATTAACAAAAGGCATTCATCCCTCATAGCTCTGTTTCCCCCTTCAATTATTACTGTATCTTGCTGGAGACGAAGGGCAGAAAGAATGGTGTCTCAGTCGATGCCCTGCATTTTCCTAAACATCAAGACGAACTCGTACACTTTTTCAGGCTCGGGCATTACTTTCGCCACGCTCTCCCTCTGCAAACACCTCTTCATCCAACTCGAAAACTTGGGACACTCCTCCGCCACCGTAAACCCGCCGATCTTCTCGGCGGAAAAGAACCAGCAGGTTAGAGGGATTGCGATGACGTCAACGAACCCGAATGTGGCACCATTGAAGTAATCTTTGTCCCCCAATGCTTCTTCCAACTGCTTCAATATCTCTATAAACTCATTTTTCGCTTCCACCGGTACCTCCCCTTTGCATCTCCATACATTCCCGCATGCATCAAATACCTGCCAAACTCACATGTTACTTCATTTAGCAATTAAAAAGAAGGTTTAAATTAAACTAATGTAAACCACCTTTTTGTCAATATAATCAGCCCAAAAGCGTGCCTGAGCTCGGCCATACGAGCACGGTGGGAGCAGTGGAGGGGAAGACCAGGTCTCATCGATGTAGTTGACGATGATGGTGGACTCACATAAGGGTTTGCCGTCGTGCAGAAACACGGGGACTTTCTTGTAGATGGGGTTAGAGTTTAGCAACAACTCGCTTTTGCCGCCGAACAAGTCCTCCGGTCGAGCTTCGTATTGAAGGCATTTCTCGTTCAAAGCGATCTTCACCCTCAAGCAGAAGGGACTAACCCAAAAGTCAAGAAGAAGAAGCTCGGCCTTGGACATCTTTAATTTCTCTGTATTTTGTATTGGTTTGATGTAGAGAAATGAGTGGAAATGTACCCAAATTTATACGGACTACGTCCTGCAGTGTGACGAAGGTTTCGAGGCTCGAATCTTGCTAAAGGTTGAGTTTTCTTGGTAGTACATAGTGATCATCAGAATTTATTTTATATGCGCACAAGGTTTGCCTTGCATTGATGGAAGATGGTAATAATAGATACTCGTCGTCCACACCTAAAATGCTTTAAGTATTAGTTCACTCCCTATCCTGTTCGGACTCACATCCAACTAAACTCACTGTTGTTAAAAACGATTTATATGTGATGAAAATTGGAATTTATAACCTATCACTCATAATAAAATGATCATTTCTTTTCTAAAATTATTTTATTAGAACGTACAAACTAGTTATTAAAGGTTAATAGATTTATTAGTTGATAAAGTAGTTAGAAATGTTTATATTGTCTCACTTTATATGTCCGAATTTCAGTATTTACTTGTAATATAATATTTATGTACTTAATAAAAAGGTTAAATAGGATCTACAAAATACTATTATTGAAAATCCAATTAAATAATTTAAAAAAATATAATATATGCAAATAAACACCACTGCTTATGTAAGATTAATGAACGACAACTATTAAATTTATTAATTTATAAGAATAAAAAGTAGTATTAAACTATTAATTGGGAATATTGTAAAGGTGGATATATCAATAAGTAAGAAAAACAGGGAAGCAGTAGGCCGGCCAAGCCAACTCAAATTCGGTGGTTATTCATTTATCCTTTCTTCTCCATGATATTAGTTGTTAATAATGCTCATCAACTCCGACAACCCTTTTTTTTTATTTTAAACAATTGCTCAAATCCCAGAAAGTTGTCAACTTTAAGCTTCAACTATTCACGTTCATAAGACTCCAGAACATTTGCCATTCCAATCTGGCCAGTGTAAGCTCAGATCTAGCTTCCGATAGGGAAGCCAGCAGCCTTGGTGGCTCTCCGATCAGTTGTTGGCGGACGCCCCCTTTTATGGAATCTTTCAAGCAGCCCATGCAGTTGGACTGGTGTAAATTGTTCTCAAAACAGAGTAGTCGAGTTAAGACTCCCTGGAATGGGACTGTCAGGTCAGCTTCCCATCGCCATTGGTAACTTAGCTCCAAACTCTTTCTCTTCGTTTCAATGCTCTGTCTGGGCAAATCCCATCTGATTTTGCCAAGCTTTCATCTCTTCGAAACCTTTACTTACAAGGGAATGGATTTTCCGGCGAGATTCCAGAGCTCTTGTTCACTTTGCAAAACCTGATCAGGCTAAATCTCGTAGACAATAATTTCAGCGGTACCATCCCGGGAAGTGATAACAATTTAACTAGGTTGGGTACACTGTATTTGGAGAACAATCGATTATCCGGGTCAATACCAGATATTGGTTTTGCTTCACTTGTGCAATTCAATGTTTCTTTTAACCAGTTAAATGGGTCGATCCCAAAAGCGTTATCGAGTAAGCAACGGAGTGCATTTCAAGGGAATTCTTTATGTGGAAAGCCTTTGATTTCTTGTGATGGAAGTAAAGATAGTGGCAGTAAATTGTCAGGTGGAGCAATTGCAGGCATTGTTATTGGGAGTGTGCTTGTTGTTTCGTTGATTTTGGTTTTCATGATATGTTTATGTAGAAGGAGAGGTGATATGGCAAGAGATATTGGCCCTGCAAAACAGGCTGAGATTGAAACTTTAGGAGATAAAGCAGCAGCAGGGGGGGGGGAGAGTGATAATAGAAGTAATGGCTTATCTGGGGTAGCCAGAAACGATGCTAAGAGTAATGAAAATAAGAATATGGTGATTTTCAGGAAGGCATCGAGGGTATTCGATCTCGACGATCTACTAAAGGCTCTGCTGAAGTCTTGGGGAAGGGAACATTTGGGACGGCATATAAGGCCACCTTAGATAAGGGGGCGGTAGTTGTGGTGAAGAGGTTGAAGGATGTGACGGTGTCGGAGAAGGAATTCAGGGCGAAAATGGAGGTAGCGGGAGCCATGGATCACCAGAACTTAGTCCCTGTAAGGGCCTACTACTTTAGTAGGGATGAGTAGCTTCTTGTTTATGATTACATGCCAATGGGAAGCTTGTCTGCACTTTTGCATGGTGAGTATTACCTTCTTGCTTATCTGCTGCATATTTGTTTTCTTTTCTCCCATTACAATTATCATTTTCGATCAGGTAGCAGAGGAGCTGGTAGGACTCCACTGAACTGGGACACAAGGTCCAACATCGCCCTCGGAGCAGCACGAGGCATCGCATACCTCCATTCCAAGGGCCCTGGAAAATCCCATGGAAACATCAAATACTCCAACATCCTTCTCACTACATCCTATGAAGCTCATGTGTCCGATTTTGGTCTTGCTCAGCTTGCTGGCCCTGGTCCAACATCAACTCCCAATAGGGTTGATTGCTATCGCGCACCAGAAGTAGCAGATGTTCATAAAATTTCCCAAAAAGCATATGTCTACAGCTTCGGTGTACTACTTTTAGAATTTGCTTACAGGGATCAAATCGTTATTCTATTAGTAAGGATAACATACTAATTACCTTATCAGATCAGAAAAAATTAACTTTTAGTTGACATGTACACTTTTTAAAACAAAAACGACTTCATTTCGAAATTAAAATCAATTAAACCTTATCTCTAATATCAATAAATGTAACACCTCCAACCTGTATCCGACCCGATACTAATTTAAAGTGTCATATTAACTTTTCAAAACATTTACTTTTGAAAAATTGTATAAAATATTAAACTCTAAATTTGTAATTTAGTGGTGAAACACTTATAATAAATTTCTATTCAAAATCTAATTGAAAATACATCATTCGATAATTTATATAAATATAAAGATGTATGGTTACAAAACAGTTCAGAACATACAATTTAAAACTTATAGTACATACCAACAATTTACAAAATAACAAGAAACCTACATTTTAAATTGTTATGATTTGATCTTTTGCGGGAGTATGTTGTCCTCGACTAACTTTAACCTTCTGCTTTCTTCAAACCTACTTGTGAAATAATCACACGCTAAGTCGTTGACTTAGTGAGGTAAGTACGAGTAAAAGAAAACATTAGAAAATAATTTCTTATTCATTTCATAGAACACATTTCATAAAAGATTTAATTCACATTTCATAATAAGAATGTATACTTTTATATCTTGTTCGGTTTATATAATTTTGTTTTAAAATAGCCCAATGCATACTACTGAGAACTTTAGGTATTTGAGTATATTGAGATTGTGCACTAATACTCTCACCATAGCTTACATAATTTGCACTGAAGTACCACATATTTGTCTCGAAGTGCCACATATTTGTCCCGAAGGACCACATAGGTTTGTCCCGAAGGACCACATAAGACCCTCGACTCTTGGCATGCCAACTATACCTCTAATTCTCATACATATACCTTGGGATTTTATCCACATATTTATTTATCATTTCATTATTCAGAGTATATCTTGTTCACATAAGCACTTTCACATCAAGCATTTTCATAAAAGCATATTCACAAATCACATTGTCAAAATCATGTTCATATAAAAATCAAAATATAGCTTAAGAGATATAACTTGAATAAAGCATTCTAAATAAAATATGACATAAAAGAAATAACATGGTTTTCGATCGAAAACTCTGAGGTTGGCTTATCGCAAGCCGCCCTCGAATCTAATATAAAACAAATGAGTTGCACTCACCTTTGCCTCACGTAAGGTTTAAACGAATCATTTTTATCTTTTGCTAAATCACTTTGGTATAACGCTTTGATCGATACTCTTCTGATCCAAATCTATACGTAGATATATCCAATATCAATACCACTTTACATTAATGTATAACTAAATTAACATTTACAAAGACGAAACTAAAACTCTCTCTTTAAATTTTCAACGCATTAGTATTGGTACCCCTCCTACAGTACTGATACTTCTCCTCTATGGTACTGATACCACATCAGTATCGATACCACTTTGGCATTCTGGAATTTCATACTTAATAATAGTATCGATACCTTACTCTTGGTATTGATACCTCACTTCAGTATCGATACTAATTCAATTGGTACCGATATTGTTCATCGAATTCAACCTATTTCATTCGATTTAACACTATAATATCGATACTATTTTTTCAGTACCTATACCTACCCAGATTTCATTTAATTCACTTCGAATTTTTCCCCAAATTCGTCTAAACTTCTTACTCTTAGCTCCATTCAACTCCTCAAACTCATTAACACTTATCCTAATCAACTAATATCCAATAATCCTCTTATAACATCCATAAATAACATCCAAACTTCTTTATGTAATTCTTAAAAACTAAATATCATATCATATTTTCAAACATGTTTTTACTCATTTCTATTACTTCTAACTTATTAATTAGACCCTTGATAAGTCAAATTTATCAATAGAAATCCAAAAACTAAACTATATCAACAATTCCCTTAAAAACCCATATTACCATTTCATCAATAATTCACTCACCTCTTAATTTTAAACAACCATAAACTTTCCTTAAGCGTATGTATCACCTAAAGACCAAAAACCAACTTAAAATTTCAAGAATCAAACAACTTAAAAATAACTCACCTTATCTACGGAGTTACGAGAAAAGAAAGATAAGAAAGTGAGCCAAGCTTTGAAATACCCTCTTTCTCATCTTCCAAAGCTTAAAATATCTTTTAAAATGAATTTTAAACTCATTTCCTGTTAAAAGACTTCTTTGCCCTTCCATTATTCCATCCTTGTAAACAAGTCATAAACATAATTTTCTAAAATTAGTCTTTGAACTTTTGAACTTATTACAATTACACACTAAATTTTTACTTTCTTACATTTTGGTCACTGGCCCGATGTTTGGAGTGTTACAAAGATAATTTTATTTAGGGTAAAATACACAAATGATCCATCAACTATAGGATGTTACTTTATTGAGTCTTCTGACTATTAAAAATTACAAAATGTTCCTTTGATTACAGGGCGTCGCTTTATTGAGTCCCCCGACTATTAAAAGTTATAAAATGGTCATTCGACTATTCATATGTTCCAAACTCATCCTTTTCCGTTAAAAAATTGACGGCAATATGAGTTGAATGTTAACATGCTGACTGTGATATATTAAAATTTGGTCTCAGAATCTCAAACGATTATCATATCTCAATCAACGTGTTAACATCCAATCAGACGACCACTATATTTTTACTGAAAATGATGAATTTGAAACATATGAATAATCAGATGACCATTTTCTAACTTTAATAGTCAATGGACTCAACAAAGCAATGTCATATAGTTAAAGGACCATTTTGTAACTTATAGATAGTTGCATAGCAACCACATATGTTGCTGATGTAATTGTAAAGAATTGTGAATTCATTTAAATGTCTAGCTAATTGTAAGTGTATTTAACCTGTTAATAAATGATGAAAGAGCTATCCATTTCTTCCCTCCATGACTATTGTGTATATGTTCAAATATATACAAGAGAGAACAAAATTGAACTAGAAGACGTTGTAAACGTGGAAGAATCAATAATCTTATGCTTTTTACTTTCCTTCACCGCTCTTCTCTTTTGTAAACATAGAAGATGACAAATCAGACACCATGTCCATGAACGTTGCGCAGAGAAGCATTTCGATAGTGTCACAGTTGAACCTTGTTTTGCAGGAGATTGTCTGCTGGAGTTCATTAATCTGCATCATCAGATATGTGCGCAGGACCGTTTAGTTCCTGTTGAATCATTGACGGAATTCGAGGAAGAGGGACTTTCCATCCTATATCAGCTTAAGGCATTGAAAGACAAGTTACTAGCTATGGGGGATGATCAAATCATGGAGGATTTCAAATCAGTTTAGGAACCCTTTAATGGTTTTGATGTCAGTAATGATCTACGTCGTTTGCCAGATTTTCTACGTTGCACTACATCATAGTGTTTAAAGATACAATTGATACATTTTATAAATAATTTAAGAAAGGAGTTCTCTTAAGTCTCACATGAAAGTTTTTCTTAACAACATTATCTAAATAATTTTACCATTTTAAAAATAGATAATGCCGCCACGCTCGACGAGTACGAATGAGCACCGTTAATGACGAGCACCATTAAATTAATTTATAAAATGTTTAATTATAAAGTACTAAACGTATAATTATAAATTAGTTAAAAATCTAAATGTAATTTAACTAAAATACAATATTTATAAGACATTAGTTTTTAATATATAATTGACCACCTAACTATTTACCTATTTTACTTAAACCAACAATTTTTTTTATTTTACCAATTGGGTCACCTAACTATTTAAATCTTATCAATCAAGTCACCTTCTGTTAAATATTAAAGATGAGATGATGTGGCCGTTAATAAAATTTATATAATTATACATTTAGTCCTCATTACTTACACATTCTATTAATTTGGTCCTAACTTTTATTTAATTTGATAAATTTAATCCTCAATTCAATGGTAACATGTGTCATTCTGTGTTTGGATTTTTCATATTTTTTATTTAATAAAATTTTCATCCAAGAAAATGATCCCACGTGTCGCTTTTGAATGAATGAAAAATAAATTAAATCAATAACTGCTACTGGTGGGATTTAAACCAGTGACACAAGCCAAAAAATTGAGCGCGCTAACCATAAAGCTAGACCACTAAACTTGTTTAATATACATAACATATACTACATAATTTATATATAGTTAATGGTAATGAATGACCTTATAAGGACTCAAACGTGAAATAATTAAATAGTATAAAAATATATATAAACAATCACGAACCAACTTAACTCAGCGGTTAAAGGAATCGTTATTGTACTAATAGGTCATGAGTTTGAGCATCAGCGACTACAAGGGTGATTGAACGTTCACTGTCAAATGATTGAGAGTATTTAGAACAAATATTACTTTGTTAGCATCTTAGCTTAATAATAATATAAATATTGATTAATAAATGAATATGTTTTATTTATATTTTAAATATTCTAATCTTATTTAACAACTCTATATTAAATTAGACTAATTTAATAAAATCAAATTGTCCCTAAAATTTTATTCAAATATATAATGAATAAATAATAAAATATAAAATTCATACTCTAACCAGGATATAAACAGGTCAATGCATAGATTAAAATGCTTACTACGATAAACCCTCAACTATCAAAAAAAAATTTAAGTCAACAAAACTCTTCTTTATATTTCAATTATAATATATTAAAATTATTTTTATTTTTATTTTTTCATTAAAATGATTTAAAATATAAATAAAATAAATTCACATATTAATCAATTATAATATTTGTGTATATATATCATATTATTCAATTATTCTATGTTGGAGTTATTATTGAATTGTCAGTCCAGCTCAGTTGGTAGAGCGCAAAGCTCTTAAACTTATGGTCGTGGGATCGAGTCCCATGGTGGGTATTTCATAATTGTCGGAGGTATTCCACGGAAGTTGCTCTCAACCTAGCGTTGGGGGCAGCCTACTACCCTACCTCTCCTTACCTAATTACATATGGGAATAGAGCCATCTAATTTTTTTATGTTGAAGTTATTATTACGTCATTTTCCCCTTTTTTATTACCATTAACTATATATATTATATCGTGATATATCTATCATTTGAATGGTGCAACCCAGTGGTTGGAGCATTTGCTTCCTCTCATCATGTTTTGAGTTCAAATCCCACTAGCGGCAGTTATTAATTTCATTTATCTTCTATTCATTCAATTGGTGCCACCATTTGATGGGATGTAAATTTATTAAACTAAATAAAAATATGAAGAAAAACATCCAATCAACATAGTGACACATTTCATAATCTGATTGAAGATTAAATTTATTGAATTAATTAAAAGATAGAACAAAATTAATAGAATGTGTAAGTAATGAGAATTAAATGTGTAATTATACAAATTTTATTAACTGTCACGTTATCTCCTCCGTTAATATTTAACAGCATAAGACTTGCTTGACAAGATTTAAATAGTTAGGTGACCTAATTGATAAAATTAAAAAATCAATAGGTAAAATAAAAGAGGTAAATAGTTAGGTAATTATACATTTTAATTAAATTATATTTAAATTTTTAATTAATTCATAATTATACATTTAATATTCTATAATTTAATGTTTTATAAATTAATTTAATAATTTTCGTCATTAACAGCATTCATTCACGCTGTAGAATTTGTCTTTAAAAATAAAATAAAATAGTATCATACAAGTTGCAAAATGGGACAAGTCTAGATAGCAGAGACAATGGAATGAAGGGATAGTGTAGTGACCCTATAAAAGAATAAAAAATAGAACCTAAAGCCTCATACCGTCATGTCATCGATCCCGGTGAACCCCTTTTGTAAGCGTCCGATCATATCCATCTATAGAATCTTACCCGTTCATTTTTATCCTTTTTTGCAACTGATCATCAAACAGTATCTAAAGCTGTTTTGGCTTTGGGACTTGGTTTGTGAGGAAAATTTTGAAAATCAAAGAGAAAACATTGAAGTTCAAAGCTTCGTTGAAGGAATTGAATCTTTCCTTTTCGCTGATTTTATTGTTGGGTGTGCAAAATTTAATGGCTACTGAAGAAGTCAATAAGCCTCCCCCACTCCCTTCTTACCCACAGGTACATCTACTCTCCACTCTCTCCTCAAAATTGATCTCTTTATTTTTTTACTGATGATCAAAATTTGATATTTCACTTTTTTTTTTATAGTTTGCAGTTGATTTTTGATGGAATATAAAGGAAACCCATTTTCATTCAACCTCAAATTTCATGAATTTTGATGCAATTTCATTTTTTTTTTGCAATAACTTTCTAAAAAAATCATTCTCTCTTTTTTTCTCATCTTCAATTCAGTTTATTTGCATAAGTTTTCTTCATTTCACTGATTTTTTTCCTGATTTCTTCTAGTGTTTTTTGTATATGATAGAAAGGACAGGTAGCTTTCAGAATTGTTAGAAAACTTGTATTTCCTGTATGTTTTCCGTATTCATCTTTTCTTTGTTCCTGGGTGCAGTTTTTGATGTTCATCGGAGAAGTTTCTGTCAATCACCCGAGGATTTTATTTTGTAATTTACATAATAGTTACACGACTCTTATTTTATCCACTTTTAAGCATGAATTTCAAGCTTCGTAGCTTAAAATCGCTTGATAATTCATCTAAGATTTTATCATGCAGCTAATTATTAACGCCATTGAAGCATTGAACGACAAGAATGGTTCAAACAAGACTTCAATATCCAAATACATAGAGTCCAAGTACGGAGATTTGCCTACTGGCCATTCCACTCTCCTTTCTCACCACCTTAACATATTGAAAGAAACAGGAGAGCTTGTGTTTTGGAAAAACAATTACATGAAAGTCGATCCCAATGCCCCTCCAAGGCGTGGCCGTGGTAGGCCACCAAAACCCAAGGTTCCATTGCGACCTGGTATGGTTTTAAGCTCTGGAAGGCCTCGGGGCCGCCCTCCTAAGGACCCCAATGCTCCCCCTAGGTCCCCCAAGCATAAGCTGCCTTCTGGGAGTGGAAAACCACGTGGAAGGCCAAGGAAGATGGCTCGACCCGAGGGGGGAATAGGTGGGAGCTCTACAACTATGATGTTGACCTCGGCCGTAAGGCCGAGGGGACGTCCCCCTAAGGTCAAGGCTTCGGCATTGACTGAAGTGATTGGACATTGAGTGTAGTTTTAACTTGTGGTTACTATTTTACTTCATGTCTCCAGTTTGTTTGTTGTAGAATTTGCAGGGTGTCTGTTAGTGTGAGAATTGTGTGTATGCTTGAAGTGTTCTTGTAGAAAACTCTAATGTAGTTGTACTTGAGAGGCTTTGAATATTTTCTTTTGAATTTGAAGTTGTTGTAGAGGATGATTAATGCTAATGATGATCTCTGTTGTTCTCTTTGTTGTATTCGAGGAATATCGAGCTCGTTTGACTTTGCTGTGAGTTTGCTTCATCGTTAATGTAATGCCTGCTTACTGATGATATCTGAAATCTTTATTTTTCCGGCATATATTTGGACATGAGAACGAAATATGATGCTTCAACCGCACGAAGAATGTGAGCATAATTATGTCGAACATATTCCGGTGTCGATATTCGAAACATGGATGCTTTCTTGCCTGGCTATTTGGTATAGCAGTCAACTAAGCATTAAGTTTGAAGTTCAGAACACAGTCCACTGTAATTGGGTTGTTTCGTTGGTTTGGAATCATCATGTAATCGGACAAGCTTAAGATTGGCTTCAAGGAAGTACGAGGTTGTGGGGGAAGATTTGGGATAATTTTAGGTATGAGATTCCTTCACCATAATTCTACGTTACAACAACCTCTATTAGAGGGTGCTTTCACAATCACAGCTTTGACCACAGATACGTCTAGCAACTAGCAAGGGTTCCAAAAACTTCCATCACATCTATTTTTTTTAAAAATTATTGTAAGTATTTGGAACTAAGGTTTCATGGAAAAAGTACATAAATTGTACTTTTTGTTTGTTTAGATTATAAAATATTTTTTTGTATATATTTAATATTTTTATATTATTATTTTAATTGTTTTATCTGTCATATTGTTTAAAGAAAATGTCAATCATTCAAAAATGAAATGCAACAACATTTATAATTTTTAAAAAATTTATTTTTAAAAATCAAGCAGTCTATTGGGTTAGTTACATTTATGTATGAACATTGACAATGATTAAGAAATATTTTAAATAAATATTATATTGTAATTATTTAAATTATTATATTTTTAAAAAGTTTGAAATTTCTCTAAAACTGTAAAAAGTATTTTTAAATTCTTCAAAATCCCTAATTTCAATATTCTTTGCTAAATTGAAATCTCAAATCAAAATCTCAATATTATAAGACCGGTTGAACCCCAATACTCCCAGATTAAAACTAAGAATTATTGAAACTAAGAATCTAACCGGATTGAAATTAAGAATGACTGAAATTAAGAATTTAAAGATTTGTAAGGTTTTGAGAATTTTTTTCAAACATCTTTAAAATTTAAAATTATATTTATTTAAAAAGAATTAATAGACGTGACATATATCACATATTTTTAATGACTAATGATTTTATTAACAACCGTGACAAATAATATCAAAATAATAACATTAAACACAAATTACATCAAAATAATATTAGATATTTATGTTCAACAAAAATAAAATCACCAAAGATGAGGGAAAATATAGTTTAAACTCCTATTTTTCAATAAATTTAAAATAAATATAATATATGTTTTTTAAAAATTTCAATTATTTGAAAATAAAAGTTTAATCATCTTTTTATAATTTATGATGATGGAATATGAGAACTTTAAAAATAATCTTTATTACCTTAATTACTGAAATAATTTAATTCGTATAATTTAAGTAATTATATTTTTTTGTTCTTCTATTTTAAGACTTTGTTTTGATTAATTTAGATCGATCTGTATTGTACACCTGGTTTTAGTGGTTGAATCTCTTAACAAAAATTTTCTATGTACACAAAAACTCAAACTTTGTTAAACGATATCAAACATATCTTATTCTTAATTAAGCCTCTAATTAATCCATAGATAAATGTACAATTTCTATTCATGTAGCCCACATTTGTACATCTCACATTTTTCACTAATAAAAGGGCAAAAAACAACTCTTCTATGTATAACATTAAAAAAAAAACCGAAACCGAGCCGCCAAAACTGGACCAAACTCTACATAAAAGGAGGATGTCATTTAAGCCGGATAAGCAAGCCCCAGCTCTACTATACACGTGTCATTATTCTCACTCGTGTCGTATGCCTCCAATTTCCTTTTCTTCACCGGCACCACTACGTGGCATGCACGTGAAATCGCCGATCGAACCCCAACGTCAACTCCAACCCGACCTCACCGCTTTCCCCCTCGGAAGCCTTTCCTCCGAACTCCGGTTCCTCCGGAAACAGCCGCGACGCCGGCGTCGTTTCCTCCGAGATCATGCTCTCGGTTTCTTTACTTTCCCCATCCATAACTGCCAACTCGGACAGGTGGCTTAGCGAAGACTCGTGACTCGTCGATCTGTTCCCCTCGTCACTACAATAACGCGGCTCGGTTTTGGCTTCCGCGTTTCGGATCTCTTCCTCTACCACCTTCTTATTCCCCTTCCGCTTCACAGTTCTCTTGACTCGGCACCGATTCTTTACTCGATCAACATCGTCGGAGTTCTCTTCTTTGGAAACGTGACGAATGTCGAATGCTTGTAGAGGAGGCCCTCGACCATCCGCCGCATCTTCCGTGGCGATAGGCGTGATCGGAGCACCTTTTAGCACGGCTTCCACGGCGTCTTCACAAAGCTGCCAACTCCCGGACCATAATAACCCCACTGAACCATAGATGGGGTTCACAATCCGACCACAAGCCTCGTATAATAACGACCTAAAAATCCCTGAAAATTAAAAAAAAAAACCCGTAAGTCCACAAATCATAAAAACTCCATAATCTAAAAAAAAAAATAGGAAATATATAAGAGCACTGACCAGGACGGAGGTGTTCGGGGCCGGCGTTGATGAGGTTCAAGAGGCCAGCACGGCCGTAGAATTTGGCGAGAAAAAAAGTGGCGTTTGCTTGGGATTCAGGGCTTTTGATCCATTGCAAACAAGGCCTAATTCTACAATTATCGCTGCAACCTTTGCGTAGGACCCGGCATCCATTGCAACTCAATCTCATTTTGGAAATGGTTTAAGAAAACACAGAATGCAGTAGAAAAGATTTGAAACAAATATCAAATCAGAGTAAAGTCTGAATATATTTACGAGAAAACAGATTGAAAGAAAGATAATTGGATAAGAGAGAAGGATATTTGGGAGATTGAACGTAAGAGAGAAGTGAGAGAGTATTTAAGGGAAGAAAAAAAATGAAAAATTCATAAATAAAAAAGTAGGCGGCGGCCGCTTGGTTTTCAGAGTTCAGGGTATGCAGCAGCTGTTTTTATTTCCAAAAACATGGTTTCAACATGCAAGGAGCCACGCTAGATACTTTGATTTTTCACCACTTTCAGTTAACACGCGTGCAAGTCACTCTCATATAACTCATCAAGTTTTGGGATCCACTTGGAGACGTACACTTAAAGTTTGTACATGTCCCCTCCTGGGTACGACAACTTCGGGGAGATCCATGATCAACATTATTTTAGTAAAGTACCACTAATTATTTCTCTAATTTACTTATGAGAGCAAAATGGAGATTTCACAAAGAAAAAAATGACAGGTGGTTGAAGTTGTTAAGAGATGCCATGCAAATGGGTCCAAATGTTGAAATAGGAAGAGAACAGCGCGTGGAAGACACGTACAGTGTCACGGTGCTGTCGAGTCGCTACATATAATCTGTCGGAGGAGAGATATGATGGACTACGGGAACCTCTTGGGTGATTTTTTAAATTAAATTAATTTTTTTAAAAAGCTCCTAGTTTTCGGGAAGTTGGTGTGAGTTCAAAAACCGCTTTTCAAAAGGGTGAGCGAAAACCGGTGACTGGTTTCCGGATTTGAAAAGAAGGGACCGTGGGCGCACTACAAGACCCTCAACCGACGGTTTTGAAATGGGAAAATAACTAAGCTCGTGCTTATCTTCTAATACAATTAATTAATAATATATTTTGGTTTAAACTCTATCTTATCATATTAGTTTGTGTTAATCTATGAAATTTAAATTATTATTAGTTTTAGAGAGTGAAACCTGTTTTCTTTTACCAGTGATTAGCAAAAAATTATAAATTAATGAGTAAATTACACAAAATATCATTAAATTTTAGGATATATCATTTATAATAATAAACTTTTATTTCTTCAATTATACTATTAAACTTTAATTTTGGATTCATTATTGCACTTAACCTTTAAAGTTTAACGATGTGATGATGTGAATAATTTTTTCTGTCATTGTGGTGATGTAAACAAAATAATATTATTTTAATATGTTTATTGATGTCCAACTCTAGACTTTAGGAGTCTATCAATTTTGCCACTAAACTTTTAAAATGTTAAATTTTAGAAATTGACTTTTCCCAACCATTGCCAGTCAATTGTCGTATGTCATCTATTGCCATTCATGACAATATTAATATTAAAATGTTCACATTTTCGTTTTCTTCTCGTTGAATTACTTTTTTCATGAAATTACTTAAAATCAACACGTTTATACTTTAATCTCCTTCGATGATCATATGATAAAGCTAGTTTTGAGGCATGTTGTTCATTTTCAAAAACTAATGTTTCTTATTGTTCGAATTTTGAAACAAACACTCGTCAAATATGAGAAAGCCCCTAAACCTAAAAAACAATTGATTTTTTGTTTAATTTCGTCAATTTTGAATTAGTTTCATGAAAAAACAATTATAAGAGAAGAAAAGGGGTGAAATATGAACGATTTGATATTGATATTGTCACAAATGATTACCGATGTGGGGCAACGATTCGCTACAAATGGTGAACAAAAAGTTTTAGTGCTTAAAAGTGATTTGCTTAAAAGTTTAGTGACAAAATCGATAAAATTTAAAATTCAATGCCTAAAAGATGTCATTTTAGGCATCATTAGTCGTATAAAAATAATGTTGTTTTGTGCATGTCATCACGTTGTTTTGATTTTAACGATTTATACTATAAACTAATTCAAACTTAAAGTTCAATGACATAACTAAACAATTGAAAGTTCAATAATATGAACAATAAACTACATAAAGTTCATTAGTATTTGATGTAATTTATCTTATATTAAATTAGTTTGTAAGAAGTGAGCTAATTTTAATCCTATTGATATCTTTGTTTATAATATATTAGAGGTCGTGCTCGTGGATTTAGTATACATAAGCAACATTATTTAATTTATAGGTTTATGGATTATATTTAGTTTATTTTATTTATGGGGTGAATTTATCA